AAGATAAAAAAAAAACAAAAAACAAATGAAAACGACAGCCCAAATTCAACCTCTTCAGAGACAGTCATTCACCCCTAGATATCAGTGCTAACAAGCAATATTTTTTTCCTTATGACGCCCAAGTGGCCGAAACTAGTCGAGGAACCTAATTTAAAAAATAAAACAAAAATATTAATATACAACCCAGTATATATATATATATATATATATATATATATGTAATATATAAATATATGGATATAGATCCGACAGTATGAAGAAAAATATACAGAAAAAACAAACAAAAATCTTAATATGCAATTATGCTGTATTAATGTTAATATAAAGTCAACGTCGGACGTTTCGGTCTATTTAAGACCATCTTCATGGACATTTTCATTTAAACATAATTAACATTAGAACATATAAAAAATCAACACGAAAAGACGATGGACATAAGAGCACAACTAATCCAAACAGATAACTGAAATTTTTATATAAGATCAGCGTTCCGTTTAAATACTGGAAATACAAACCTAAATTTACTTTAGAAAATGGACGACTTCAAGCTTGTACGAAAATATAAGAATCTATTGATCAAGTAAGGAAAGGATTTATTATCGAACTGTTTTTTAAAATTGTTTCATCGTTTTGTAAATCATTTTTGATTTGCTTTGTAACGTGGAGGACTTCAAGCTTGTATGAAGATATAAGAACCTATTGATCTCTACGTATTCCTATATCAACGGAAAGGACTTTCTTGAACTGTTTATATAAAATAGTTCAATTGACTTTTTTAATATTTTAATATTTGGAAATCATCTTCGAATACGTTTTCACAACGACGTGATCATATTTAAACGGAACGCTGATCTTATATGAAAATTTCAGTTATCTGTTTGGATTAGTTGTGCTCTTATGTCCATCGTCTTTTGTGTTAAATGTTTATATGTTCTAATGTTAATTATGTTTAAATGAAAATGTCCATGAAGATGGTCTTAAATAGACCGAAACGTCCGACGTTGACTTTATATTAACATTAATACGGCATAATTGCATATTAAGATTTTTGTTTGTTTTTTCTATATTTTTCATATATATATATATATATATATATATATATATATATATATATATATATATATATATATATATATATATATATATATATATATATATATTCGATAAAAGTGACTCACCTGATTTTTTTTTATTTAAATATATTTTCGGCTATTGTTTTTTGGGGTCAAACTAATTTTTAATCTTACTAATATAAAGACCCCTTCCTGACCACCTAGTGAAAAAGTTTACTCACCCTAAGGTATTCTATTGATAATTATAATTTTGGATATAAATGAGATTTAGGGAAAAAAAACTGTGTGCAAAAAAGTGACTTATTTTCTTGCAACTAGTAATCAATATAAACATAGCCAAACAGCTTTAAATAAAGAATAATGGAGGTATAATTTATTTATAATAGGTAATATAGTTCGAAATATTTAATAATCTATGGGTCCTTCTTTATTTTGAATAACCTTTTTGGCATTGAATTGATTAGGTTCTGGCAAATCTCATCTGCAAGCATTGAATTCCATTCGGATATGAAATTCACAATCAAATCTTCTTTGTTGCTCAACTGCTTTCTCGAGAGCCTGTACTTTATAATGCTCCATAAGTTTTATATAGGGTTGAGGTCAGGAGATTGGAGCGGCCATGTCATATCACTCACCTGTATATCAAAGTATTCCTTCGTCAATTTTGATTTGTGACAGGTAGCATTATCCTGCATAAAAATGAGCGTGGTGGGGTCGATTTGCACCCTTTCAGCAGAAGGGAGCAGACAAGACTCTAAAGTTCTCTTGTACTGCTCGCTCCTGAGTGTCTTTTCAAAAGGTTTTAGGAAACCAGTCCCATGAAAAGAAAAGCATCCGCAGAACATTATACTGAACGGATGCTTGACAGTACTTACTGCTTCAAAGAACTTTCAAAGCTTCTTCGGATTTTAGATCGCTTATCCTTTGAATTTAGCTAAACTTTCGTTTCATCGGAGAAGAGAACATTCTTCCAGTCTTTTACAGTTTTTATACTGTATGAGGCTTTCTGGAATATTCTAGATTTAATTTAAGCTGATCTAGAATTCTCTAGAATATTGTTCTGAGTGTATTGTAAAATACTTTTCAATATTTTGTCAAAAGCTTTTTAAATTTACCAGTTTAATCATTAGAATGCGATATCTGAGTCACTTTTTTTGCACAGAGTTTTTTTTCCTGAATCTCATTTATATCCAAATTTATCAATTGAATACCTTAGGGTGAATAAACGTTTTTCATAGGTGGTCGGGAATGGGTCTTTATATTAATAAGATTAAAAATTATTTTAACCCCAAAAGCAATAGAAAAAAATACTTTTAGCAAAAAAAATCAAGTGAGTCACTTTTATCGAACAGCAATATATATATATATATATATATATATATATATATATATATATATATATAAACGACTTCCGGCAAAATAACCGCCAAATATAAATAGCCGAGAAAAAAACGACACTCGTGGTCTGACGATTGCGTCTAGCATGAAACAGACTGTCGCCTCTAAGTGCTGACTTCTATGTTCACTTTTATATTTACACATGGTCTATCTCTGATATTGAGCACTTTATCCCATAAATATAGCATGCCTTAAGACTATATTTCTTCATATATATATATATATATATATATATATATATATATATATATATGAGTGTATGTGTGTGCGTGCATGTTTCATAAAAAATGACAGACAAAGTACTAGGGTTAACCTTTTAATTTAATTTTTCTTGTGTTCGAAAAAGTGCTTTCTTTTTTGGACACACAGTGGGCAGAAACCGTCCAAATGTTCTATAATCCCGAGCGCTTTCGGCTATACTTTTAGTCATTATCAAGGCTGATTTTACTTTTGAGATTAATTGTGTTTGTGCGTCATGTGTATGTTTTTAGTGTGTTATAGAAGTGCTTTATTTTACGAACATGGTCAGTATATTATGGTCGCGTTCGTAATTAATATTGTTAAGAGTTGGCTTTTTTTTTATTTATTATTAGGGCTTCCATTATTTTTAATCTTTTTTCACAGGTGGATAAGGTTATTATGTTTGTATTTTCTACTAGTATGTTTCGAATAGAGTCTGGTAGTTTTGTGTGCGTGTTTAAATGGGTCCTAAAAGAAATGTGGTCAGATAGGTGTAACATAAGGCGTCTGGATAGGCATGTAGTCGTGTGGCCGATGTAATTATTTAGGAATTCGGTTTGCTCAGGAACACAGTTCCTTAAGGGGCATTTGATTTCACATAATGTTCGTTCGTTCTAATTTTTACTTTGATAATGTGTTGTTATTTTTGAGGATAGGGTTAGTTGTCATAAATTTTTTTCATTTCATTTTTGGAAGTGCTATCTGATGATCCGGAATCCTTTAAAAGGGCTCTGGTGAAATAAATTATTATAATGGTACCTTAAAGTGGTATGTTTTTCTTTAAATTATTAGCTCTGGATTTACATTGAGCTCTCAGGATTTCATCTTCCTTGGGATTACCCATACGGATTACCAAGTTCTTCATAACTTAAATATATATATATATATATATATATATATATATATATATATATTTTCTCCGATTTAATCTATATTTATAGTTCCTCCCTATTAATATATATATATATATATATATGTGTGTGTGTGTGTGTGTGTGTGTGTGTGTGTGTGTGTGGATGGGGATAAAGTGTTTGTGTGTGCACACGCGTATGTGTAATCACTTTCTACTGTACTGATTAGAGATAAAAATGAGGCTACTTATATTAAACAATATTTATAATTCTGAATTCTTTCGCGAAGCAAACTAAATTGAATGGGAAATCTTTTCATATTTTGAATGTAGATGATGAAAATTTAAATATATTTTATTCATATAAAATATTATATATATGATAGAATAAAGCTTATATCAAATAAGAATAGATATATATATATATATATATATGGTAGAATAAAGCTTATATCAATATATATGATATAATAAAACTTATATCAAATTATAACTGTTTAATATTTGTTAATTACTAGTCTGTCAGATTTTAATCCGTGTTTGCTCTCATTACATATATATATATATATATATATATATATATATATATATATATATATATGATATATATGTCTATGTGTGTGTGTGTGTGTGTGTTGTATGTCTGATAGAAAGATTTGTGAACAAATTTTGATAGCTTTTTGAACAGATTAGATAGATTTGATAATAGATAGATAGATAGATTTAGATAGATAGATAGATAGATAGATAGATTTGGAATAGATGAGATAGATAGATAGATTTGGGATAGATGAGATAGATAGATAGATAGATTTGATAGACTGAGATAGATAGATAGATAGATAGATAGATAGATAGATAGATTTGGGAACAGACTGAGATAGATAGATAGATAGATAGATAGATAGATAGATAGATAGATAGATAGAAACAGACTGATGTAGATATGAAGAGATTGAGATAGATAGATAGAATAGATAGATAGATAGATAGATAGATAGATAGATAGATAGATTTGTGAACAAACTGATAGATAGATAGATAGATAGATAGATAGATAGATAGATAGATAGATAGATATGAACAGACTGGGATAGATAGATAGATAGATAGATAGATAGATAGATAGATAGATTTATGAACAATTTTTAGATAGATAGATAGATAGATAGATAGATAGATAGTGAATAAACTGAGATAGAAATGGCGTCTTTCATCACGTGAACATTAAGAAACCGCTCTTAAACATATTAAGTAACACACACACACACACACACGCACACACACACACCTAAGAATACAGTCACGCATATACAAATTGAAATGTTTTAGAAAAAAAGAAAAGTTTTCGAAAGGTCCTCTGTCGTTTTTACACCTGCCTGCAAAAAGCAGTTTGGCCGCATTCCGTTTTAAATATTAAAAACGGTCCAAGCGTCAAAATGACGGATTTTTTTTCGCGCCATTGTTCTAGCATATTTGTTGAGAAAAGTGAAAAGCAGAGAGAAGAAAGAAAAAGAGTCGACTCATCATTTCCATCTGCGTTGTCCGCTTTCCGATTTCCGCACCACGTGATCAATCGGACTTCCTCTTCACATTCAGAGAATCAACCATTATCAGACATTGTCAAGGACACTCATGAAATTCGCTTTATTCACGTTTATTTTTCGCTTTTCCGTCTTTTTTTTTCTTTTTTCTTTTTTTTTTTTTTTTCACGTTTTTCCTTTGTCGTCTTAGCAGTTTTGTTTTTTTTGTTATTTTTTTTTTTTTTTCTTATTTTGAATTTTCAATTTTTCCCTGTTCGGTCTTCCGTACTTTCATACACTTTATTTATTTATTTATTTATTTTTTTCAATTTCGATTTTATACATTCTTTTCTTTTGAAGACAATTTTTCATTCCTTTTTTACACAGTTCCTCCCTATTTCATTCGCTAACATCTTCGTTCCTTCTTTCTTTTGACTCTCTCACTCTCTCTCTCTTCTTTCTTTTTTCATTCTTTCTCGAGCTCCTTGGTCCTTTCTTTCATTTTTATACATATATGCGTTTAAGTTTGTCCTTTTTTTCTTTTACCATTCTCTCATTTATACTCTCATTTTCCTTCGTTAATTATTCATTTTTCTTCCTATTTCGCTTCATATTTTATTTCCATTTTCTTTCTTCATGTCATTCCCGATTTCTTTCCCTGCTTTATTTCCACATTGTTTCGATTTTCTTCATTTTTTTAATCATCTTTCGTAATTTCAGTTTTTCATTCCTTCTTTTTTCTTTCAACCATTTTTTCTTTCAACCATTTTTTCTTGTGTTTTTTTCTTTCTTTCTCAACTTCCTTCTCCCTTCCCTTCTTTATTTCTACATTCTTTCGATTCTCGTCATGTTTTTAATCATCTTGCGTTCTTTCACACTTTTTATGCTTTCTTTCTTTCCTTCTTTCTTTCTTTCTTTCTTTCTTTCTTTCTTTCTCGACTTCCTTCTCCCTTCCCTTCTTTATTTTCACATTCTTTCGATTCTCGTCATGTTTTTAATCATCTTGCGTTCTTTCACACTTTTTATGCTTTCTTTCTTTCTTTCTTTCCTTCCTTCTCCCTTCCCTTCTTTATTTTCACATTCTTTCGATTCTCATCATGTTTTTAATCATCTTGCGTTCTTTCACACTTTTCTTTCACCCTTACCATCTGTCTTTCTTTCTTTCTTTCTTTCCTTCTTTCTTTCTTTCTATCTTTCTTTATTTCTTTCTTTCTTTCTTTCTCGACTTCCGTCTCCCTTCCCTTCTTTATTTCCACATTCTTTCGATTCTCATCATATTTTAATCATCTTGCGTTCTTTCACACTTTTCTTTCACCCTTACCATCTGTCTTTCTTTCTTTCCTTCCTTCTTTCTTTCTTTCTTTCTTTCTTTCTTTCTTTCTCGACTTCCTTCTCCCTTCCCTTCTTTATTTTCACATTCTTTCGATTCTCGTCATGTTTTTAATCACCTTGCGCTCTTTCACATTTTTTATGCTTTCTTTCTTTCTTTCTTTCTTTCTTTCTTTCTTTCTTTCTTTCTTTCTTTCTTTACTTCCTTCCCTTCTTTATTTCCACATTCTTTCGATTCTCATCATGTTTTTAATAATCTTTCGTACTTTCACTCTTTTATTCTTTCTTTTCTCCTTCATCCTTTCTTTCTTTCTCGACTTGCTTCTCCTTTACCTTTTTTATTTCCACATTCTTTCACTTCTCTTCGCCTTTATAATTCTCTTTCGTTCTATCTTTCTTTCATTCTTTCTTTCTTTTTTTTTTCTCTCATCTTTCCTTCTGTCTTTCCTCTTTTCATTTTTCCTTCGTTACATTTTCAATTTTTACCTGTTGTTTCTTTTACATTTTATTCAATTCGTTCTTCTTTTTATGGTTAAATTTAATTCTTTTTTTTTCCTTCATACCCTTTTTTTTCATTCTTTCTTACACTCATTCTTTCGTCTTAAATTAATTGTTTCCCCTTATATTTTGTTTGATTCTTTTTTATTCAATCTTTTTCTCGTTCCTTCTCGCTTTTTCTCTTCATGTCTCTTTTCATTCTTTCAAATATGTCCTCCTTCCGTACATTATGATTCGTTCTTCTCGTCATTCAATTTTCCTGTTTCTTTCCTCTTTTCTTTCATTTTATTCTTTTTTAGCTTTACATTTTATGCATAATTTTCTTTCTTACTTTCATTTTTTCTTCTTACAATAATTTTCTTTCCTTTTGCTTCTTTTTTTTCTTTTTATTCACTTTCTTTCTTTCTTTCTTTCTCGAATTCCTTCTTCCTTACCTTTTTTATTTCCACATTCTTTCGATTCGCTTCATGCTTATAATCCTCTCTCGTTGTATGTTTCTTTCATTCTTTCTTTCTTTTTTTTCTTTCATCTTTTCTTCTGTCTTTCCTCTTTGCATTTTTCTTTCGTTACCTTTTTAATTTTTCCTGTTGTTTCTTTTACATTTTATTTCATTTCTTTTTTTTTAATCTTTGAATTTAATTCTCTCTTTTTCCTTCGTACCTTTTTTCATTCTTTCTTTATTCTTTTCTTTTTATTCTTTCATTTTTCTTAAATTCTCGTTCCTTCCGTTTCTCCTTTTATATTTTTTTTGATTCTTTTTTTTTTTTCTTTTTTCGTTCAATTTCTTTTTTCCTTCATGTCTTTTTTCATTTTTTTTTTCATTCGTCTTTAGCTTTCGTGTACATTATGATTTCGTTCTTTATCTTCATTCAATAATTTACTTTCCTTTTGCTTTTACTTTTCTATCTTTTTTATTCATTTTCTTTTCTTTCTTTCTTTCTTTCTTTCTTTCTTTCTTTCTTTGCATTGTCTTTGAACTTTCCTTCTTTACATATTCATTATTCCCTGTTTTTTTACACTTTTTCTTCATCGTTTTTAACGTTGCTTTTTATTCCTTTCTCTCTCACTTTCACCCTTGCCTTTTTTTTTCATTCATTCCTTTTTATATTTCATTTTTCTGTATTTCTTTATTCAAAATCGTTTGCCCTCTTTCTTTCTCTGTTTCTTTCATTTCTTTCCTTTCTTTTTTTTCTTAGTCAACATTTTCCATTCCTACCAAGCGTAAAATACATTTTTCTTTACGTTACTATTTTTAATTTTTCCTGTTGTTTACACTTTAAATTAATTTCATTTCTTTTTTAAATACACTTAAAATTTACTAATAAAATTGTTGTGGATTCTTTTACCTAAATAACAAACGCCAGGAATTATTTTTTTTCGTTTCAAACTTTATTTCCAGAAATTCTAAATATATATATACTTTTTTTTTTATCGCAATCTTTTCTACGTGCTCGCTCTTCCGCTTTACTCACCTTTATTTCCTTATTTCAACCTTTTACTTTCTTTTGTTTCGACTCGTCTTCAATTTGCTTATTCCTTCTCTTTTTTTTTTTTTAGCAGTTTTTTATTTTCATTCGTTTCCATGTGTTTAAAAAGGGTGGACCCTTCAAAAAGTTTTTAAGAAATACACTAATTCGAAATCATTTAAAATACGCTAATAAAATAATTTATTTTAAGAAAAACACTAATAAAATACATTAATAAAATTCACTAATTTTATTCATTTTTATAAGAAAAACGCTTTAGAAATACACTTTAAAATACTTTACTTATTTATAAGAAAACACTTATTAGAAATACTTAATAAAATTTCTTTTTTATTGAAATGGCATTGAAGTACATTTCTTCTTCTTTTACTACTGCCTCATTATTCCTGTCCATTTAATTTATTTTCTTTTTCTAGCTAGCCGCCATTTTCCGTTCCGCCTCTTATTCCCGCCAGGGTTTTCTCCCTCTCCCTTTCTCTCTTGTTCTCAATATTTTTTTTATTTTTCAAACCCTTTTATAATTATCCAAAAGAATTTTCTGTATTTTCTTTATTAAAATCGTTTGCCCTGACGATAAACTTTCAACAAGGCCTCTGATAGGGAGGTTTTGAGAATCTTGGACCGTCTCTTGAGTGCTGTTCATCCCAGCTGCTCCCAGAACCTCAGTGGCAGCGGCTGTTACCCTATGACCCAATAGGGTTCACCAAGCGAAAATACAATGTATTTTTAATAAAATTAACAGCACTAATTTTATAAAAAAACCAACAATATATTTTTTGAAAAATAAATATTACCAAAATACCTAAAATCTACGATATTTATAAGAAAAATGGCATGAAAAAGTCATCTATTGATTTCTTACAAAGAATACTTCTTCTATTTACTATCTGCCGGCATTAAATAAATTGAGGTTGATAACATCCCATCCAAAACCTGGGTCAAACTGATTTCTTACTTTAATCTGTTCATACGAACCTATCCAAAAATCTTATCCGTTAAATAACCGCCATCTTAAAACAAAATAAACCCAAACCCTTTATTGATTTCTTACCATATTCTATTCATGAACCTATCCTAAAAATCTTATCGGCATTAAATAACCCATGAGGTTTATATGCCTTTAAACCAAACCCTGATCCTTCCTTACAAAGAAATACATCTATTCATACGAACCTATCCTCAAAAAATCTTTTTAAATAACCCATTGAGGTGTGATATGCCTTAAAACAAAATCCTCCCTGTCTACAAACGAATAAATTCTATTCATCCCTATCCTAAAAAATCTTATCGGCCTCTGATTGAGGTTTTGAGAAAATAAACTTGGACCCTCTCTTGAAATTGATTTTCTTCCCAAGAATACATATGCTCTATTCATACAGAACCTATCCTAAAATCTTATGGCATTAAATAACCCATTGAGGTGTTGATATGCCTTAAAACAAAATAAACCCAAACCCTGTGATTTTTATAAAGAATACATATTCTAACAACCTATCCTAAAAAAAATTATCGGCAAAAAAATTGAGGTGTTGATATGCCTTAAAACAAAATAAACAATATATTTTTTTGATTTCTTACAAAGAATACAAATCTGTTCACCAAACCTATCCTAAAATCTTATCGACATTAAAGTAACCCATTGAGGTTTGATATGCCTTAAAACAAAATAAATGAAACCCTGATCTACAAACTGATTTCTTACAAAGAATACATAATCTGTTCATACGAACCTATCCTAAAAATCTTATCGGCATTAAATAACCCATTGAGGTGTTGATATGCCTTAAAACAAAATAAACCCAAACCCTGATCTACAAACTGATTTCTTACAAAGAATATATAATCTGTTCATACGAACCTATCCTAAAAATCTTATCGGCATTAAATAACCCATTGAGGTGTTGATATGCCTTAAAACAAAATAAACCCAAACCCTGATCTACAAACTGATTTCTTACAAAGAATTCATATTCTGTTCATACGAACCTATCCTAAAAATCTTATCGGCGTTAAATAACCCATTGAGGTGTTGATATGCCTTAAAACAAAATAAACCCAAACCCTGATCTACAAACTGATTTCTTACAAAGAATATATAATCTGTTCATACGAACCTATCCTAAAAATCTTATCGGCATTAAATTGATGTGTTGATATCCCGTAAAACAAAATAAAACAAACCAAAACAGCCTGGTTATGTGTATAAATATTCTTTCTGTTGCCATTTTCTTTAAGACTTCCTTTTTGCTACCTCGCTCCGTCCATGGAATTCTCAGCATCCTTCATATTGTGAGACCGGAAACTACCTACACAATAGACTCTTCCAGGCCTATATTAAGTAGGCTACATAGCACTCTAGAGAGTGGCAGAGAGTTACACAGAGAAACAGTGAGAGTCTCGTACGACTACCAGTATTGGACACTAACATATAGTTAGCTCCGCTTACACTATCGCTGTAACCTGTTGTTAATATATCTTTCTTACATCTAATCCGTGTTCCGTGTTTTACTCCTGTGGTCCCAATTTTGGCCCCACATCAGTGGCGACGAGGATTCTAGAAACGCACTCACGGTGAAACCTAAATACCTTACCAATCCCACATCTGTGTCGACGAAGAATTCTAGAAACGCATTCACGTCGAAAAACCGCAATACTTTGCCAGTCCCACAACAGTGGCGACAGAAAGATGCGAGAATTTCGTTCTCACTATATCAATAGTGACAGTACTCGAAAAATACACAAACCACACGCGTTCCCACAGCAGTGTTGAACGAGAAATTAAGCTGGTATTACTACATTAACGATTTAAACGAAACACCCAGCGTCTACATATATTCCGATACCAAACACCATTGACGAACTAGCGATTCGACATCTACGGAATATTAAAGTCTGTCCAAATAACAAGAACGAATTCTTACACACCCACACACAGAAAAAAACAGTTGCTCGTAAAACAAACTGACAATACAAGAGCAAGTACTGCCATTGTATTCAAGTTTTCGAAAAAAAAAAACTATCAAAAATCTTTTTTCTTTTTTATGTACCCGAGTTGAACTCGGGCATAAAATTATTCTCCCCTCAAATTCACTGAGGTGAGTTTTCTTCTTTTTTTTTTTTGTACCTTTCTAAAAAAAAAAAAAACAAGTACATAAGTGTGGTGAAAAATTATTCAATTACGTTTAACGGAACCACGGGAAAAAAAGCTAAACACATAATTAGTTTAGTTTAACTAATTGTCTGTCCATATTTTTTTCTGTAAACGAAAAAAAAAGGAACAAAAATCTATCAAGATTTTTTTTTTGTGTACCTCCTCTCAGTACACGTGTTTCAAAGCAACAAAAAAGCGCTGTCATTTTTAAATATGGAAGATTTGAAAAAAGTAGTTGACCAAATGTTAAAACTAAATTTGGATCAGCAACAAAAATCAGAAGAAAGACAACAACAACTATTTTTGGAATTACATAAACAACAAAGGAAATTCCAAAAAATTACGCTTCAGAATGCTGAACTACAACAGAAACAACTTAAAGAATTACTCGTGAATGCATTTAAAGGCTCAAACTCTGAAAAAGATATAATATTCTCCCAGAGAATCTACAATTCAATGGAAACCTTTGAATACGTACCAGAGGAAGACAAAACCTTCCAGCCTTTTTACAGGCGCTACGAAGATATTTTCAACGTAGACTGTGAACAATGGCCCAGTAAAAAAAAGGTACGTCTTCTATTGAGAAAACTGGGAACTACAGAACATAGTAGGTTCGTAGACTTCATACTACCCAAGAAAACGACTGACTTGGATTTTTCAGAGACTATTAAGCACCTATCGGAACTATTCGGACCTAACACAACCTTGTTCCACAAACGTTGGAAATGCCTGAACACAGTCAAAGACAACCAGCAAGATTTTCTAACGATTCTTTTAACTTAATTTTCCATTATTGGTACTAATGATAAATATTTATTGTTTTTAAATTATCACTAAAACTAAAATCATAATAACATCAAAATACCATGTAAATTTATTTTACTTGTATAAAGAAAAACAAAAAAATAAACTTTTCAAAAATTCTCTAGGTAACCTTTAAAAGAAAGCAGTTGATTTACAATGTTCCGAAAAATGCTTAAAAATTAAATAGAACATTTTTGTCAAGAAAAATACTTTCAAACATCATTGATAATTAAATGGTACCCAGAAAATGATGCAACGGAAAATTGAACACCGGAAAATTAGCAACAGAAAATTACGTCAACCATGAGCCAGTCAAGACTGTCGGATCTGGCTGTGCTGTCCATTGAAAATGAGCTTACAAGACAAACAGATTTTGACGATGTCATTGACCAGTTTGCCACAATGAAAACAAGAAAACATTCATTCTAAGACCATAGTATCGAATGTCATTCTTTTGTGTATTGCCGTGTTTTGTATTTAGTTGTTCTGAAAGTGAACAGTTGCATTTTAAAAATCTTTTGATTTGAACTGTTTATTTTGTGGTATTGGATTTTGTCTTGGATCATACATGTAAACAATAACGTACCGGTCAGTAGAGTAAAGTAGAGGTAGAGCATGTATGAAAATTTAGCTACAGCTAACCATTCAGCATAGGGTGAATCGGGGTCATTGGGGTGACATTTGAGCAGAGCGCCCCGGGTGACGTTTACTCTAGCTACGCCACTGCATCTGTGAATCTTATTTTGTTAAGATTACGCCAACCAATAATAAATGCTGTTTGGGCCCCTAGTCCGCTTACGATTTTCTATTGTTTTTTATGTGCCGTGTAATTTCTGTACGTAGGCGATCATGGCTCTCCACTTTTCCTATCCCTTGTAGCTCTCAATAAATTTTGTCCCTTCTGCTACTTCCCCCCACCCAGATACATCCACTTGCTTAAGCCCATTAGGTATGCCATGCGTTGCTTTCATTGTCTATTTTTCCTTCTATTCGACCTGTGAGTATCAGATTTTCCAAGCCCTCCTTTCTCATTATATGTCCCAGAAATTTCATCTGCCTCTTCCTGATGTTAATCATAAGCTTCCTCCTTATTTGTATCCTCTCCAAAACCTTATCGTTGCTCACACACTCGGTCTATGACATCCTTAGCATCCTTCTGTAGAACCATACCTCCGTCACCTCGAGTCTCTTCATCTTTGAGGAGACCGTCCAACATTCGCTGCCGTAAAGGAGGACAGATGTCACGTAGCAGCTCAGTACTCTTTTCTTTGTTACCAAAGAAATCCTCCTGTCTCGCAACACTCTGCCCAGCTTTTGGAATGCGTCCTTGGCCATCCCAATACGTCTTCGGATCTCAGCGCCGCACTTACCGTCTTGATTTTAGTGTTCCCGACCTGTAAATTGCATTTCAGTCTCCTCTTTTTACTGATGACCATGACTTCTAACTTATGCTTAGTCCCTTCTTCTTGCTCTCCTTTGTTACCTTCCGTAGAAGGTTTTGTCATTCATTTTCCGCGTCTGCTATCGACATTGTGTCATCTTCGTATCTTATGTTGTTAAGATTCTGTCAACCGATGAAGAATCCCGGTAGGATATCGAATTCTCTCAGAATTGCGTCACTGTTAAGGTTGAATAAGTCCGGTGAGAAGACACATCCTTGCCTTACACCCCTTCTATTTTTGTATATCTGCTGAACTCGTTCTCTATGCGTATGCGGACCGCTTGCTGCCTAGGTTCTTTTATTTTTCCCAAATATATCAAGGTTGCTGAGCAGTTTCAATAGATATTTGTGATATACTTTGTCGAACGCATTTGCGTAATCTATAAAATATATGCGCACGTCCGTCTGCATTTGTATTGCTCTTTCTGATAACATTTTGAGCATAAATATAGCCTTTCTTGTTCTGGTGTCTTTGACGAACCCGCACTGTTCTTATCCTATCTCTGTCCTGATTCTGCTACACGCTCTATTCATCATGTATTTAGGGCTCGGGATCGCGTCACTAAAATCCGTTATTATTGTTTATAATCCATGAACGTTCAGTGTTGCACCTTTGGAATGGTGGGCATTGTTTTGCCAAATAAAAGAAGGGGTGATGTGTCAGAAAATTAACCAAATGACGTTTGTTTTCCATTCCAATTTTTTTCTTTTTCCGCATGACTTTCTGGTTGCTCGCTTTAATTCTACATATCTTTGATTTTTTTTGTTCAATACAGATCAATAGAGTATGTGTAAATATAAAAGGGGACACTGAGGTCAATACCAAAAGGCGACAGTTTGTTTCCTGCTCGAACGTAATCTTCAAAGCCTTTCTTTCTTTCTTTCTTTCTTTTTCTTTCTTTTAGTTTTCTTTCTTTTTCTTTCCGAATTCCTTTTCCATTCCTTCCTTCCTTCCTTTCCAGAATTTATCATTTGTTTTCTTTTCTGTATTTATTTATTTCCTTTTTTCCAGAATTTATCCTTTCTTTCTTTCTTTCTTTCTTTCTTTCTTTCTTTCCAAAATTTATCCTTTCTTTCATTCTTTTTAAATTTTATCCTTTCTTTTCTTCATTCATTCATTCATTCTTTCTTTCTTTCCAGATTCCCATTTATCATTTTCTTTCTTTCTTTTTTTCTTTCTTTCTTTCTTTAATTTATTTATTTATTTATTTTATTTCTGTTTTCTTTCTTTCCATTTTCTTTCTTTCTTTTTTTTTTTTCTTTCTTTCTTTCTTTTTTCTTTATTTATTTATTTATTTATTTATTTATTTTTTATTTATTCATTTATTTCCTTTTATACTTTCATTTTTTCTTTCTTTAATCGTTTATCCTTTCTTTCTTTCTTTCTGGAATTTATCATTTTCTTTCATTCTTTCTTTCTTTTTCTTTCTTTCTTTCTTTCTTTCTTTTTTTTCCATTTTCCTTTCATTCTTTCTTTATTTATTTATTTATTTATTAATTCATTCATTCATTCATTCTTTCATTCTTTCTTTCTTTCAAGAATTTATCCTTTCTTACTTTCTTTCTGGAATTTATTCTTTCTTTCTTTCTTTCTTTCTTTCCAGAATTTATCCTTTATTGATTTATTTATTCATTCATTCATTCATTCTTTCTTTCTTCCTTTCTTTCTTTTTTTTTTCTTTTCTTTCTTTCTTTCTGGAATTTATTTTCTTTCTTTTATCTTTCATTTTTTTTTTCTTTTTCCAGAATTTATCTTTCTTTTATTCTTTCTTTCTTTCTTTCTTTCTGGAATTTATTCTTTCTTTATTTATTTCTTTCTTTCTTTCTAGAATTCATCCTTTCTTTCTTTCTGGAATTTATCCTTTCTCTCATTCTTTCTTTCTTTCTTTCCAGATTTTATCCTTTCTTTCTTTATTTATTTATTTGTTTATTCATTCATTCATTCATTCATTTTTTTCATTCAGAATTTTCCTTTCCTTTCTTTCTGAGATTTATTCTTTCTTTCTTTCTTTCTTTCTTTCTGATTTATCCTTTATTGATTTATTCATTTCATTCATTTCTTTTTTCTTTCTTTCTTTCTTTCCAGTATTTATCCTTTATTCATTCATTCATTCATTCATTCATTCTTTCTTTCTCTCTTTCTTTCTTTCTTTCTTTCCAGTATTTATCCTTTGTTTCTTTCTTTCTTTATTTATTTATTTATTCATTCATTCATTCTTTCTTTCTTTATTTCTTTCCAGAATTTATCCTTTCTTTTCTTTTTCTTCCTTTCTTTTTTTTATTTTATTTTTTTTCTTTATTTCTTTCTTTCTTTCTTTATTTAATTTATTTATTTATTTATTTTCTTTCTTTTCTTTTCTTTTTCTTTCTTTCTATCCGTAATTTATCTTTCCTGTCTTTCTTTCATTTTTACTTTCTTATCCTTTTTTAGTAACTACCTTATTTCTGTCTCCCTTTTCTTTTCTTTTCGAAACCTATAATCATTTTCTTACTCACCGAATTTATGCAAATACATACTTCATCCTTTTGCCAATGAGAAATATACCCGGACAAAATCTCGTCTGCTTTCTACAAAACATTCTCCTGTTCTCCCTTTAATTATGTCTTATGTACTTTTGAGATCATGTTTAATTTTTTTTAAATTCGACATTTTCTCTGAGAGCAATGATTCCTATCTTATGTTGACCCAGTTTGTCTGAGAGGGATGTTGGTAATATGACAGATAACGCGACATTTTCTTTTTGTCTTGATATAGTTAGCAGCTGTCTGACATGAGAACTTGTACGAAATAGATGAATATAGACTGAATTTCAACATACCGAAAAACAGGCAACCATTGATATATATTAATGTTTGGTGACCGTTTACTGAGACCATTATATGGATGTGAGCACAGTAAGTTGAAGGATGATGATTATTAGCAGTGACGATGTTTGTGTTTGGAAAATCACATTTTCGATATCCGAATGCAGGAATAAGACTGGACAATGATACTATATAATAAGTACGATACTTTCATTTTTTTTTATAATGAGATCTCCCTATACAAGGCATGAGAGCCGCTCGAGGTAGATTGTCACCAACAAGGACGCTTTTGGTCTTTAATAGAGATTTGAAAGAGTAGACTGAGCAGCCATCTGCATATATATGGCCAACAATACTCCATTTTTGCTCTGATCTAGCTCTTGTAAACGCAAAGGATAACAGAACCAGTCAGGCATTAATGGAGCGGTACAGGGTCCCGACCATTTTTCCAGGATCTTCAGATACAGATGTTATGTACGAGTTCCACCTGAGACGTGGGTTAAGTTTAACGTCCCAATAGATTCTTAAGACACAGGGCTTCCCCAAGAGAATGTCCATTCATTGTGATTAATGATAGTCCGGGGTCTAATCGACGATGGCGGAATGTAACTAGTTTTCGAGGCATTGAATATAACCAGCCAGCTTTTCTACCACTAAGATTTTAGAGCTGCCAGTTTTATGGTTGCTTTGGTTTTCCATTTTTATCTGAACAATTAACTCTATCGTTGCATGTAAAAAAAAAAAAAATGTGCCATCTAAACAAAAAACACAAAAAAAAAACAATATATTAGCAGCTTGGTAGTCCCTACGTACTAATGAGTTATATCATGTTATCGATATTTAATTGTTAGAAAATAATACGTAGACAATGTGTAAAAATGAGATTTGAAATATTATTCCTGTGTGTCCCTGTATCTGTTTTAATTCTGTGGGGGAAAAAAAACTGAAAATATTACTTTCAAAGAAACACACGTATTAACTTTCTCAATTTTTTTCCTGCTTATTTTCATGGTTTGATTTTAACTTTTGGTTTTATTTTCTGCTTCTGCATATTGATAAAAAGAAAAGATTTTTTTTTTGACAAAACCACCACGATATTTTTTAAATCAAACTTGTTTTATACAAACAAATAAAATCTTTTCACAGACCGAAAAAGTATCATTTAAAAAAAGCCTCAAAATGAAATAGTAATATAAAAGAATTTTTTTTTTCTTTTTCTTGTCCAAACTTCAACACGGGGTTATTTCGCTTGTTGAATAAACAAAATGACATATGCTAAAAAACAAAACAAAACGAAAAATGACGACGCCATTTGCAAATTGGAGCTAAAAAAAAATGGCGACAGAAGTTTGAGAGGGGCAGATAACTATGGCTAAGATTGCTTTATAGGCGTAAATGCGGTGAACTGAGTCTATTGTAAATCGTTAATCCTTCCGACGTCTGGGAACAGATTGCTATCTCGTCTGTTTATGCTCAAAGGTACGTAAGATATATATTGCGTCCTGCTGAGAGAAGGAAAAAAAACGATTGCCAATATGAGAGTATATTCAGTTGAAGCAAAAGCGTTCACTATTTTAGGCAATGTCTTTTATTCATATAAATAAACAGCGTCCTCATACAGTGATCAAAGGGTGCTCCTCGACGTGGCGTATTGGTTAGTGAACTTTTCTCGTAAGATCAATTACGGCTGAATAGTTCGATCCTCACTGGGTGCCCCATATTGTGTCACAACTTTGGAGCAGTTCGACGTCAGGTAATGGTTAGCAGGATTTTCTCGCTAGAACAATCACGACAGAAAAGCTTCACCTGGTGCTCCATGCATTTGGCCTTGTGCCACAACTAAGCAACACGTAGAAAATCATTTAAGAGCTTCTCGACGTGGAGAAATGGTTAGCAAGCTTGTCTCGCTAGATCAATTACGAATCAGTAGTGAATTCAATTCTCACCTGGTGCCCCATACTTTCAGCCTTATGCCACAGCTAAGCTACGATTGGAATATCATTTAAGGGCAGATCGGTAATGGTTAGCAAGCTTGTCTCGCTACTTCAATTACGACTCAATCCTTACTGAATGCACCATATATTCGGCCTTGTGCCTCATGTTAGCAAAGCTAAAAAAATCAGCATACTGTCATGAACGTATTAGTAGGGGCATCTTTGCATCTTGTGACATCATATTTTGAGGAAATTGTTTTTTCCTGCATATTAGGTTAGAACCAAACTTCGCAGGTCAGTACCAATGATGTTGCTGATGCGTCTTTGGATTTTATCAAGAATCGCACTTGACAATATGTAGCAGCAATATTCAAAGAATGGACCAATGTTATGGCTTACAAATAGTAAGTTATATCCTGGAAAAAAATTGTTTAGAACGACACAGTAAAACAAGTTTCTCTGCAACGGTTCTAGCATTGGATTCAATACTATTTTTTCCATTTCATATCAAACGACAATGTTACCCCGAGAAGAATTTCAAAACTCAAACGCGCTATCATTTGTTCATCTGTGTCATTTGCAGTGGCATGATAAAATGCTTACTTTTCAAATAAAATTACCTCGAGAATGTTAAAGGTTAATCTACCTCTGTGGTTCTCAACATTTCTTTATCCATCGTTTATTTTTACTCTTTATTTTTTATGGTGGCCATAGCAGGATATGACAACACAACTTCGAAATTCAAACACGCTATCATTCGATCATATGAGTCACTTACAGTGGCAGGATAAAATGTTTGCTTTGCAAATAAAATCACATCCAGAGTGTTAAATCTCCATCAGTGGTTCTCAAACTTTTTTTTTTATCCATAAAAGAAAAATAACACATGTTCAGAACCAGGAATAGACAGGTGGATTCCTCGGACATATAATGAGAAAAGAAGGCTTGAAAAATTTAACCATCACGGGGCATACTGAAGGCAAGAAAGAGATTGGTAAAAGAAGCAATCCACCTAATTCTTGAGCTTTTGGGGATAGATGACGGAACAAGGTACAGAAGCAAAGAGTGAAAAACTGCTAAGGCCCACAAGGGATAAGAAGTTTTGGAGAGCCATGACCACCCATGTCCTAAAGGGAGGCGTCATATAGAAGAAGAAGAAGAAGAAGAAGAAGAAGAAGAAGAAGAAGAAGCTTTTGTGTCGCTTGACTGTTCAGTCCTGCCAAATCCAGGGATTGAACTGATTACTTGCAGGGGGACCAGATATGTTTAACCAATACTTTAACACACTGCATTATTCACTACTTTCCTTTCCACTGGGTTATTTTTTAAGGGTCCTCTTCTACCCTACATAATTTCAGTCATGTTCATTTTCTGTTGCCATAGCAGGATATGACAACACAACTGCGAAATTCAAACACGCTATCATTCGTTCAGTTATTTGCAGTGGCAGGATAAAATGTTTGCATCCTAAAGGTTAATTAATAAAAGTTACCTTTGGACTTTGTTTTGGGTAGCAATCCTTCTATTATGCATGTTTTTTTAAATAAGATGAACAAAGACTGAAATGTGTAAGTGTAATTTTTCATATAAAATATTTAATAGTTTTATGTGAATAATAACATTTGATGGTTTGGTCCATTTAAGCAAAGTTGGTTAAATAATTATGAAATCAAATTTCTACATCCCTGAACATCCTTATAAAATAGTAGTTAGTACATTGTTAATTCTGTACTTTTCTTTTTTATTCTTTCTTCCTCAATACAGCCTACCAAAAACTTGTCAGATCAGAAGTACATTCTATCATTATCTATTATCACCGCCCTCTGTGTTGAGATCGTAGACAAAGAACTCCATTGGAATATTCGTAAACTTAAGGAATCAGCACATATTTTAGGCTATAAAAATTTCCTGAGCCGACCAAGCATAGAAATAAATACAATATGGGAACCAGTAATAAGGCGTGCCAGAGAAAAGCGAGAAAATATGAGATAGCAGCGTTTTTATTCTAGTTTCTAATAACGTTCGCTTCTTTAATAGCTTCCTCTATTGCAAAAAAAGAAAGAAAAATATATATTATGTAATATGTAGAGCACTCGATTTTACGGACATGTATCTTATACGGAAAAAAACGATGTAGGCTTGGTACATTAGTGCAATCGATACGCTTATCTTGTTAAGGAGATAATCATTGTACTCGTATCGATCTCTGATTGAAATTTAAATTAATTATGCAATTTTTTTTATTATCAATTATTAAAATGCGGTGTTGTTTTAATCAATGTCAGGTATTTAATGCAACCTCACGTAATACAGGCAAAAGAGCTTGATTTTTCACTAAAAATTCTTTTATAAACATTCTTGTCTCTGAAAGACATTCATGACTGTAAATACATTTTGGCGATAGAGGCGATTTTCATTTCCGTGGCATGACAAAGAGTTGAGCAATATTGTCTTTTCCCTGTCACATTAATTAATGAAACGTTTTAGAGCACTCGAATACATTATCCTAATTTAAATAAATCCAATTAATATCAGCAGATAATTTCGAGACGTTATCGTGGGCGAGGGTTTCAGAAATAGGTCCTGGTGCGTGAAATATATTAGCGGGTACAGTTCAATTCTTTAATGAGGCTGTATGCATTCTATTTATATTACAACAGTTTTTAATAGGCATGAACCCATCTCTTCCATTAATTATAGGCAAAATAATCGCATAAACTGAGTCCATCTGCTTTGGTAGACAAATCAATCGATTTGTTTTCTACGGGTTATCAACCCTTTATTTAAAGTCAGAAAAAAATTGAGATGTAATATTTTTTTTTTTTTTTAGAAAATAATCTACTAGGGATTTTTTTAAGCATTACGCCCCGAGCAAGGCGTGAAGCCACTAGGATGCAGGGGGTTGCAGAAGATTTTGAGCAAGATCAGATAGGATTGATAGAAAAAAGGATGAGGAGAAGGATAGTGGGTAGATCAAGGTAACTGGAAGTGTCGATTGACATTACATTTGAATAGTTAGAGATTATAGCTCTCAGGGAAACAGTAATTGGGAAGGGTGTTCCACAGGCGAGAGGTGCGAGGTATGAAGTTATTGGAGTAGAAGAGACGGCTACATTTAAAAGTTTCTACAGTGTAAGGGTGGGAGCGGGATGCCAGCCTTGTAGGGAGCTTGAATTCATGGAGTCTGGGAACCAGTGAAAGGGATACGGGTCTTACTAATTAACCCATAGCTAGGGGGTAGATGTCGTTGTTTTAATACTTTTTTTCCGCATAAGTGAATATATCCAGGATTAGAACTCGGATCTCCGATTAACAATTCCAGCGCGTTGTCACCTATCTTCGTACTGACCAAGCTCGACGTTGCTTAACTTCAGTGATCGAACGGAAAGCGGTGCGTCAACGTAAGGTGTCCGTAAACCCCAACCAAATGAGATAGACGCGTTTGAACTAAAAGCTAGCCTGGAAAGCCGATGTCTAAATTGGTCTAGACACGTGTTCCGTAGAATCTGGAACTTGAACACATGTTGTACCTGTGTTGGCTTATCGCTTGATCCAAAATATTTGCCTTGTACCAGATTTAATTAAAGCAGGTAAATGTTTTTCGTCGGCCTAGTAGTTTGATTTTCCTGTTATGGTTTTAAATCTGCATCGCTAGTGAAGTGAATTCCATACTCAAATAATGCCCAATTTACATTGCCTTGTGCCAGATAAGTCCAGTTAAGCAAGTGGACAAGGAATGGTCACACACAGCTGTTATTTTCAAGTTTCGTAAACATCTTTGAAGAGTCTGCCGTTGTTATTTCAAAACTCCTGGCACGCAAGATCGCCATTACAAGATAAAACTATTACAGGATAAAACTATTGCTTTTAAGATAACTGCAAGTCATCCGAAATACTCAACTTACTAAAACACTTCGATATACTCAATACCGTCTTTTGACTGATTTGTTTTTTAAGTTTTATCAACCCTCTGCAGGTTATTTAAAGCTAAAACACCATTTGGGGGTGGTAAGAATAATTCTTTTATTCATGCGAGTGAATAATTTATTAACCATTTCTGGGAGATAAGAATAATTTTGTTTTACTGTTTAACACGTAGATCCCAAGGTAATGAAACCAACTGAAATTCGAACTCGTCACTCTGACCTCTCATTCCGAAACGTTAGTACGTGGCATTCACAAGCGGTCATCTATCTACGCATTGACCAGGCTCGATGTTGCTTAACTTCAATGATCGTACGAGAATCAGTATTTCAACGTGATGTCGAGGTAAGCTCATTACACCACCCGAACATACAAGCTGACAGCACCTGATATTCTCGAGTGGTCACCCATCTAGGTACTGACCAGACTTGACGTTGCTTAACTTCGGTAATCGTCTGGAAACAGGTGTTTCCCATTACACAATCCATTACACAATCCGCACATTCATTCTAGCAGGTAATATTATTTCCAAGGGGTCAACAATAAAGGTACTGACCGGGATTGACGTTGCTTAACTTCGGTGATCGTATGGAAACACTATTTTCTAAAATATCTATATCTCAATTACGGCCGTATCACATTGATATAGTGGTTCCGGCACGAAGACCGAAGTTAAGTACCAGTAATATAATGGAGTTGAGGCCATATAACGTTGAAACACTAGTTCCCGTACGTTCAACGAAGTTAAGCAAATCGAGCCTGATCAGTACAACGATGTATGATATTTTGTGAATAAAACGAGCTGTAAGCAGGTGTGTTGATATAAAGATTGATATTTAAAGGATTTAAGATGGATATTTCAACAAAAGTTTTCAATCCGAAACAATAACAATGATAACTGATGAGGACAATCAGGTCTGAATAAAAAACAACAAAGATGAGTACAATAGTCCGAATATAAATAGTGTTTGAATAATGATAACTGCTCATCCAAAATTCACAAAGAAGGCGATCAGGTGATAAAAACAACAAAGAAGGACATTCGTCCGAATGTAAATAATGTTTGAATAATGATAACTGTTTTGAATAACTGCTCATCCAGAAATGAAGGAATCATGATAGTCCGTAACAATTAGATTAGGACAATAGTCCGAAAAATAAATAGTGTAATAATGATAACTGCTCATCCCAGAAATTCACACAGAAGGCAATCAGGTGATAAAAACAACAAAGATGAGGACAATAGTCCGAATGTAAATAGTGTTTGAATAATGATAACTGCTCATCCCAGAAATTCACACAGAAGGCGATCAGGTGATAAAACAACAAAGATGAGGACAATAGTCAATGATGAATAAAAAATTCACAGAAGGCGATCAGTGATAAAACAACAAAGATGAGGACAATTCATCAGAATGTAAAATAGTGTTTGAATAATGATAACTGCTCATCCCAGAAATTCACAGAGAAGGCGATCAGATGATAAAAACAACAAAGATGAGGACAATCAATGGTGTTTGAATAATGATAACTGCTCATCCCAGAAATTCACACAGAAGGCGATCAGATGATAAAAAAAAAAAGATGAGGACATTCGTCCGAATGTAAAATAGTGTTTGAATAATGATAACTGCATCCCAGAAATTCACAAGAAGATTATGAGACAATAGTCCGAATGTAAATAGTGTTTGAATAATGATAACTGCTCATCCCAGAAGGCGATCAGGTCATAAAACAAAAAGATGAGGCAATCAGGTGATAAAAACAAAAAATTCACAGATGAGGACAATAACTGCTCAGTCCGTCCTCATCCCAGAAATTCACACAGAAGGCGATCAGGTGAAAAAAATAAAAAGATGAGGACAATGTCCGAATAATAGAATAATGATAACTGCTCATCCCAGAAATTCACACAGAAGGCGAACAGGTGATAAAAACAACAAAGATGAGGACATTCGTCTGAATGTAAATAGTGTTTGAATAATGATAACTGCTCCCATCCCAGAAATCAGGTCATAAAAACAACAAAGATGAGGACAATAGTCAATGTAAATCAGGTGATAAAAGAAATTCAACAAAGATGAGGATGAATAGTCTGAATGTAAATAGTGTTTGAATAATGATAACTGCTCATCCCAGAAATTCACACAGAAGGCAATCAGGTGATAAAAACAACAAAGATGAGGACAATAGTCCGAATGTAAATAGTGTTTGAATAATGATAACTGCACATCCCAGAAATTCACAGAAGGCATCCCAGGAAAATAATTAACTGCTCATCCCAGAAATTCGATCAGAAGGCGATAAAAAAACAACAAAAGATGAGGACATTCGTCCGAATGTAAATAGTGTTTGAATAATGATAACTGCTCATCCCAGAAATTCACAGAAGGCAATCAGGTGATAAAAAACAAAGATGAGGACAATAGTCCGAATGAAATAAAAATGATAACTGCTCCCAGAAATTCACACAGAGGATCAATGATAAAAACAAAAGATGTAAATCCGAGTGTTTGAATAATGATAACTGCTCATCCCAGAAATTCACAGAAGGCGATCAGGTGATAAAACAAAAAGATGAGGACAATAGTCCGAATGTAAATAGGTTTGAATAATGTGATAAAAAATTCAACAAAGATCAGGTGATAAAACAAAAAGATGAACATTAGTCCGAATAAATATTTTTGAATAATGATAACTGCTCATCCCAGAAATTCACACAGAAGGCGATCAGGTAATAAAAACAAAAAGATGAGGACAATAGTCTGAATGTAAATAGTGTTTGAATAATGATAACTGCTCATCCCAGAAATTCACACAGAAGGCGATCAGGTGATAAAAAACAACAAAGAGGACAATGGTCCGAATGATAGTGTTTGAATAATGATAACTGCTCAATTCAGAAGGCGATCAGGTGAAAAAACAACAAAAGATGAGGACAATAAGAATGTAATTTGAATAATGATAACTGCTCAACCCAGAAATTCACACAGAAGGCGATCAGGTGATAAAAACAACAAAGATGAGGACAATAGTCCGAATGTAAATAGTGTTTGAATAATGATAACTGCTCATCCCAGAAATTCACACAGAAGGCAATCAGGTGATAAAAACAAAAAAGATGAGGACATTCGTCCGAATGTAAATAGTGTTTGAATAATGATAACTGCTCATCCCAGAAATTCACACAGAAGGCGATCAGGTGATAAAAACAACAAAGATGAGGACAATAGACTGAATGTAAATAGTGTTTGAAGAATGATAACTGCTCATCCCAGAAATTCACACAAAAGGCAATCAGGTGATAAAAACAACAAAGATGAGGACAATAGTCCGAATGTAAATAGTGTTTGAATAATGATAACTGCTCATCCCAGAAATTCACACAGAAGGCGATCAGGTGATAAAAACAACAAAGATGAGGACAATAGTCCGAATGTAAATAGTGTTTGAATAATGATAACTGCTCATCCCAGAAATTCACACAGAATGCGATCAGGTGATAAAAACCACAAAGATGAGGACATTCGTCCGAATTTATATAGTGTTTGAATAATGATAACTGCTCATCCCAGAAATTCACACAGAAGGCGATCAGGTAATAAAAACAACAAAGATGAGGACAATAGTCTGAATGTAAATAGTGTTTGAATAATGATAACTGCTCATCCCAGAAATTCACACAGAAGGCAATCAGGTGATAAAAAAAACAAAGATGAGGACAATAGTCCGAATGTAAATAGTGTTTGAATAATGATAACTGCTCATCCCAGAAATTCACACAGAAGGCGATCAGGTGATAAAAACAACAAAGATGAGGACAATAGTCCGAATGTAAATAGTGTTTGAATAATGATAACTGCTCATCCCAGAAATTCACACAGAAGGCGATCAGGTGATAAAAAAAACAAAGATGAGGACAATAGTCCGAATGTAAATAGTGTTTGAATAATGATAACTGCTCATCCCAGAAATTCACACAGAAGGCGATCAGGTGATAAAACAACAAAGATGAGGACAATAGTCTGGTAAATAGTCCGAATAATGAAATAGAAATTCACACAGAAGGCAATCAGGTGATAAAAAACAACAAAGATGAGGACAATTTGAATAATGATGTTTGAAAAATGATAACTGCTCATCCCAGAAATTCACACAGAAGGCAATCAGATGATAAAAACAACAAAGATGAGGACACAATAGTCTGAATGTAAATAGTGTTTGAATAATGATAACTGCTCATCCCAGAAATTCAAACAGAAAAGGAGGACAATCAGGTGATAAAACCACAAAGATGAGGACAATAAAACAACAAAAGATGAATGTAAATAGTGTTTGAATAATGATAACTGCTCGTCCCAGAAATTCACACAGAAGGCAATCAGGTGATAAAAACAACAAAGATGAGGACAATAATCTGAATGTAAATAGTGTTTGAATAATGATAACTGCTCATCCCTGAAATTCACACAGAAGGCGATCAGGTGATAAAAACAACAAAGATGAGGACAATAGTCTGAATGTAAATAGTGTTTGAATAATGATAACTGCTCATCCCAGAAATTCACACAGAAAGGCAATCAGGTGATAAAAACAACAAAGATGAGGAAAATAGTCCGAATGTAAATAGTGTTTGAATAATGATAACTGCTCATCCCAGAAATTCACACAGAAGGCAATCAGGTGATAAAAACCACAAAGATGAGGACAATAGTCTGAATGTAAATAGTGTTTGAATAATGATAACTGCTCATCCCAGAAATTCACACAGAAGGCGATCAGGTGATAAAAACAACAAAGATGAGGACAATAGTCCGAATGTAAATAGTGTTTGAATAATGATAACTGCTCATCCCAGAAATTCACACAGAAGGCAATCAGGTGATAAAAACCAACAAAGATGAGGACAATAGTCTGAATGTAAATAGTGTTTGAATAATGATAACTGCTCATCCCAGAAATTCACACAGAAGGCGATCAGGTGATAAAACAACAAAGATGAGGACAATAGTCTGGTGATAAATAGTGTTTGAATAATGATAACTGCTCATCCCAGAAATTCACACAGAAGGCGATCAGGTGATAAAAACCACAAAGATAAGGACAATAGTCCGAATGTAAATAGTGTTTGAATAATGATGACTGCTCATCCCAGAAATTCACACAGAAGGCAATCAGGTGATAAAAACCACAAAGATGAGGACAATAGTCTGAATGTAAATAGTGTTTGAATAATGATAACTGCTCATCCCAGAAATTCACACAGAAGGCAATCAGGTGATAAAACAACAAAGATGAGGGACAATAGTCTGGTGGTAAATAGTGTTTGAATAATGATAACTGCTCATCCCAGAAATTCACACAGAAGGCAATCAGGTGATAAAAACAACAAAGATGAGGACAATAGTCTGAATGTAAATAGTGTTTGAATAATGATAACTGCTCATCCCAGAAATTCACACAGAAGGCAATCA